ATCAAAAGAAGATTAATTTGATATATTACATATGTAAAACTGATAAAAAATACAAAAGTTATTAACTTTTAAAATATATATACAATTCAATAGTTATAATAAGGAATGATTTTAAAATACAATTAATACATGTAACATGAACATAAATAATCAACATATTTATGGTAATCCGAACCTAATTATTTTTGGTTTGAAATTAAATTAAAATTTACCCAAGCCTAATAACGAAGCATGTAATTTTGCCACATAGGATTCCGAAGCATCGGAAGCAGCCACGTAGGCTCAGCGCATTCTGTATTAATAGATAGGGGGGATTATGACACTTTTTATTTGTGCAACTTACTTGTGTTATATTATACTAATTTTTTTTACTTACAATATATAACTACATTACATAAACATATCAATTAAGAAATAATTTTATTTTTCTAATGAATTTTAATAAATATTAATATTTTTTATTATTATAAAGATAAATATAATTTATTTATTTCATATATACAATATGGATGTCAAATCGAAGATCATCAAAAGATGATTAATTTGATATATTATATATGTAAAACCGATAAGAAATGCAAAAGTTATCAACTTTTAAAATACATTTATAATTCAATAGTTTATTGAAGGAAACAAATCAAAATTCAGGGATATATTAGTCACTTAGTGCCTCACTATGTAAAATTGCAAAGAATTAAAGAGTTATATTAGTAAAAATGATATTAAAATACCTAAGTTAGCTAAATAATATTTATGGAATACCCGAACCTAGATTATTAATTTTTAATATATCAATATTATTTATCCAAACCTAATTACGAAGCATGATTCGTCGCCAAATAGGATTCCGAAGCACTAGAAGCATCCATGTAGGCTCAGCGCATTCGTGAATTATATATAGGGAGGATAACAATTATTTATGAAAACTGAAATAACCATTAAGTATCACAATAAATTATAGTCACGATTAAATATCTCGCTTCTAATAGAAACAAAACTCTTTCAAAAATAAAATTTAAACAAAATATATTTAAATAGGTAAACAAAATATTAAACTTATCAATCCAGAAAAAAATTAATAAATAAAATACAAACAATTTAAATAAGATTGAATTGCATTAATTTTATATTTCTAAATATTATGTGGAACAAATAAAAAGGTAGAGGAAATACTTCCTCAATTTCACAACAAACAGTATCACAATATAAATTTGTTACAATTCTAAATATATATATTATTTTCATATTACTAATTACATGATTACAAGTCATAATAAATAAAGTTGATATAAGATAATTATATAAAATTTACATGAAACAATAACACCACATGTAAAACTACTCAAATGGCTAACAAAGAAATAATTTTATTTGAAAATCTTTATAACTAATTGAAACATAATTTACTTACAACTGACATCATACGCATAAGTAAAGATCAAACTTAATCATATTTCCCCAAATAATCTTACAAATCGAGACAACAAACTAATATTGGAACTAAGACTCATAAACACGACAATCAACATGACATTGTAAGCTACACAAAAGCAAAGATCAAATTTAATCATGTTTCCCCTAACAAATCTTATCAATCGAGACGACAAACTAAAATTGAAACACGACTCATAAACACGACACTATCTTCGGCTTTAATTCGAAAACCTACCCGGCCCATTCGGCACCAATATATGTTTGCCTCAAAATTCAAATTTTACAGCCTTTATGAACGGAGAACATCTCCCGCTATTTCGACTTAGATTTATAAGTGTCGTTCAAATAAAACCATATCAAATTTATGAAGTACAACAAGTGTGACGGCTTAAGGCCGAGCTCTTGTGAGTTCGGGTGCTGTTCAAATAGTGTGACGACTTAAGGTCGAGCTCTTATAAGTTCGGGTGTTGTTCAGAGAATGCGATGGCTTAAGGTCGGGCCCTTATAAGCTCGGGTGCTATCCAAGAATATGATGGCTTAAGGCCGGACCCTTATAAGCTCGGGTGCTATCCAAGAATATGATGGCTTAAGGTCGGGCCCTTATAAGCTCGGGTGCTATCCAAGAATGTGATGGCTTAAGGCCGGGCCTTTATAAGCTCGGGTGCTATCCAAGAAAGTGATGGCTTAAGGCCGGGCCCTTATAAGCTCGGGTGCTATCCAAGAATGTGATGGCTTGTGGCCGGGCCCTTATAAGCTCGGGTGCTATCCAAGAAAGTGATGGCTTAAGGTCGGGCCCTTATAAGCTCGGGTGCTATCCAAGAATGTGATGGCTTAAGGCCGGACCCTTATAAGCTCGGGTGCTATCCAAGAATGTGATGGCTTAAGGCCGGACCCTTATAAGCTCGGGTGCCATCCAAAAATGTGATGGCTTAAGGCCGGGCCCTTATAAGCTCGGGTGCTATCCAAGAATAGGGTTTGGTTCCACTTTGTCACAAGCTCGCTCAACCGAGCTCCTTTCTTAGGGCGAGGTTGGTCCTTAACCCTTGGTTAGCCCGACTCGGGATGGAAGGCGTGTAGGGGCGCGGCTTTGGTATAGGGCGCGACTTTTTGGCGGCCCGGAGGATAGCCCGTGTGTAGGGGCGCGACTTTTTGGCGGCCAGGAGGGGAGCCC